GGAGGGGGAAGGAGGAGGAGGGAGGGGAGGAGGAGGAGGAAGACCAGTGTAAATTTCAATGATCACCAACGATATTGCTCATAATCCTCACCCCAAGCTCGCTCTTCAAAAGACCGTACAATACTTGTTCATAACGAGACGTGGTCCATGAAAAGACAACGTCAAATAATGTTCAATCGTGCCAAACGCATTCTTTGGGACCCCAACACCGCGAATCAACGTAACCATTGTGCCCTGACGCTCCTAACTCGTGCCAGGACAGCCTTCTAGGTCTGCAACAGAGCGAACCAACGTAGCTGTCGAGTTCTGGCAATTCTGAGTCGTGCCAAACAGTACTCATGAGTCTTCAATTATACGACCCCTGCGAAGCTGTTGTAACATATTCAGACGAGTGTGCGCGGCGGTAGAGCGAGAGCTGCATTTTGAAAACGAGCAGCCCTCAATCTTCGAGAGGTTGCATACTTTTGAGACGAATGCGAGCGAATCAGGCAATAACCGCATTTTGAAAACGAACTGCCCTCCATCATTGAAGCCGTTGCATAGTTTAATACGACTCTTCGCGCTGCTGAGGCAAGATCCGCAGTTTGAAAACGAGCCGTCTTCCATCCTTGAAGCCGCTGCAAATTTTTAAGACGAGTCTGCGCGGCGCCAAGGCGAGAACCACATTTGGGAACCGAGCCGCCCTCTATCCTTGAGAGTGCTGCCAGCGGTGAAGACGAAGTGTGTGCTGCGCTGAGGCGGGAGTCACATTTTGAAAACGAATCGTGCTGCATATTGAAACTGCTGAACCTTCTAAGCTTCAGGATCGTAAATGGTGAAGAATTCTTGAGCGCAGCGCTCGGCACGCCAAACCGACACGGCGCGCGGTGCGACAGGTTTTTGTTTAAACACAGCATTTTTTAAAAAAAGGATGGAGGCGGAAGAGGAAGAGGAAGAGAGGATGAGGAGGAGGAGGGGGTGGAGGAGATCGAGGAGGGGGAAGATAGGGGGCACCCCTCGCCCTCTCCTGCCCGCGCTGCCCGCGCTGCCCGAGGTGAGACCAAGCAGGCGGCCATCAGGTGCATCGCGGAGCCGCTGCAGCAGGAGCCGCCCCGGCCCCTCGCCCCTCGATCCCCGAACACGGTCTGCGCGCCCCCGCGCCTCCTCCCCTCGGCGGCAAGCACGCGGGGGCAGGGCCGTCCTCGTTGATCCTCTCGTCGTCGTCGATTCTCCTCCTCCTCCACACAGAATTGTTTGGTTGATTTTGTTCCTCCTCCTCCTCGGTCCTCTCCTGCTCCAGATCGTTGCCCTCCTACCGACCGTGCGGGTGCCAGAGAACTCCGAGGAAACTCCAGATCGCCGGCCCCGCGTGCCCTTTCCTGGTAGCGAGAACGTGGGGGCAGGGGAAGCAGGGAGCCAAAAAGTTGGGAAGGCAGGGGTCGGTGCCGGAAGAATTGGGAACGACGGCCACCAGCAGCTCCTGCACAAGTTGAACACGACTTGTCGTCTATCAGCGAAGATCGTTCGCCCAACAGCGGGAGTAGTTGGTTTACGTTCAGTCTCCATGTCGGGCATGCCTAACAGATAGTATAACCATATTTTCTGGTTGAACATCCCCACTTGCGCAACTCTTGGCCATTTACGTAGCCTAGGACGCATGAAACGAGATCCACATGTTGAACTCCACTTGTGAGGAGCACTCGTGGGGAAGTCCGAGTTGAAACGCGCGGATTGCCCTACCCTGCGTTTCTAGGAACAGTTCGGGGAAGAGGGCGAGGAAGGGAGGGATTTTTGGATTGGCTCCTCGCTGATGCTTACAGCTTGTCGAGTGGCGCTGCAGCTAGCAGAACATTAGTCAGACTAAACACTTTTGCACAGGCACCAAGGACGCAAGGACAGGAGTTCACTCCCCCCCCCGTATAGTATCCTCCCACCCGTAATTGGCACAGGTTCTCAAGCCGTGGTCAGTACTGTACAAATGCAAGGCACAGAGAGCAGGTGGGCGGTCCTGCAAGCGATGATGTGCATCCCCTGAGGCATTGGCCAACGGGGCGGCAGCACGAGTGTGACGCACGAGCGTACTGTCCATCTTCGCACCCTAGCATCGAGCAATAGAAAGCGAGGCGCAATTATCTTCGCCTTGTCTGAGCACTGAAAAGAACATACTCTTCTCCTGCCAGAAAGCCGAGAAGTGAGCAGCAAGGACAACTGCACGATAACAAAACCTCGCACACTCGAGTAGGTGAGAACCTTGGCCATTGCTGCACGGCTGGGCAATACCGACAGAGAGTAGCTGTACGTGCAAGTCTGCCTGCGATGTCTCCCCTGAGATGTCGGACATCAAATTGACTGAAAGGTCTTGGCACACGAGCCTGCGGGCTATCTTCGCGTCCTCGTATCAAGCTGCAATGCGATAAAACCGGAAGGCGAGGCGCAGTTATCCACGTAGTGTTGCCAAAATGGTTCCTGATCGCCTGTCTCGTGATCTCGTGATCTCTGACAGAGAGCAGCGGAGCATAGAGGAGGCAACAAAAGGACAGAAGAGAGCAACAACGCAGGCGGCAACGGTGAATGTCCGTCAGCGCCTGGCTGGCGGGCAACAAATGAGAAGAAACTCGGGGTCACACGTGCGGCACGCTACGGGTGCGCCATTAAGTCCGGCTGACCTCACGTGGACCCCTGGCCGTAAGCCCGTCTGGGCCGAGCGTGTGAGCGTCTGTGCCGAGCTCCTTCCCTCTTCTCTGCAAAGCGGGGTAGCATCAGCTCTAGTGGCACCCGTTCGTACGTCGAGTGCTTGTCAACGCGGGCGGGGAGAGACTCTCTCTCGCCGGCGGCCGCAGACAGCAAGAAAGACGAGAACACATGCAGGCTGGGGCTACAGACACACGCTGATGGATGATCGGGGGAAGCGAGGCATGTACTTGGAGGGAAGCGGGGGAGAGGGAGAAGGGGTTCCTCGCTCCTCAACAAAATCCATTTCACAGTTACATAAACGTACACTTACAAGTTGAAAATATTGCGGCCAAGCGTGGGATCGTCCCTCCATGGAGCAACCTGTCTAAGGCGCTCCTCTCGTGCACGTCTGGCCTTCTCTAATCGTCGCTTTCGGGCTTCGATTCGATTCGCTTCGATGCGGGCAAGCATCTCTGGTGACAACTGGACAGGGGCCGGCGGTGCATGCACTGGCGGTGGCTCCTCAAGAAAAGCGACTGCGTCCGCCATGGTTTGCTCCTCGTGAGCCTCCTGTGGGCCAACTGGTCGTGGCTCCGCCTCTGGGTCAAAAACTAAACCTTCAACCTGCTGATCACTTGGCGGGAGCTCAGGTGGCAAAAACTGGTGACGTTCAGGATCGGCCCTATTATGGCCTCTCCGCGCCTTGGCCGAAACAAAATCTGGGGCCCACCCTTCGTCCAAACCTAGGTATGGGTCCCATTCAACGTAAAAACGAATTAACTCAGCCTGGAGCTTTTCCTCATCCTCTTGCATGTCAAGGGGAAAGGTAGAGTCGGCACACGTCACATACATATGGTTGACACAGTCCACCGTCGCATCCGCCAAGATCTCACACAAACCCTCTGGATATGTCTTTCTCTTGGCTGTGCGCCAGTCGTGCCGTGTCCTGTCGAACTACACGAGGTCTTCGTGAGCCCCGCGTCCGTGGGGGCACTTCCCACGGCCTGGTGTCTCTAGGGGTCGGTCTGATAGTGTCGCCATACGTAGTGCGAGAATACGTGTCGGTGTTCGGGCCTGCTGGCCGTGTTCGCACTGATCGAAGTCGGTGGTCGATGCTGACGGGGCCGCCATCACAGCCCGTAGAGGTGCACGTAGAAAGGAGCTGACTGCCGCTTGGCGCCAGCTGGCGGGGACTGGGTGCTCCATCCAACAGCATGTACCTAATTACCTGCATGTGAACCCCAAAGAGCTCGATCATGGCCCCGAGCAATTCGTTGCCTACCCGAAGTTGTTCCTGCTGTCTGGGGGTCACGGCCAGTAGTCCCCAGTAATCGTCGCGGGACCTCAGGGGTTGGGGCCCCTTGTCTGGGGCCCGTCGGATTGCTGACCAGGCCTCGCGTGCTGGCCCCCCGCCTGATAAGACAACCCTTTTCGCGCGTATGTGTTCTTTCCAAACCGCAATGGCGCCAGGTGACATCACGTTGCCTAACACTGGGTCAATCGCAATATATGTATGTGTATATATATATATATATATATATATATCGGCAAGACAATGACTGCAACATCCACTGCGTAATGAATGTCCATTCTAAACACGGCTGAATGTCGCCATGCCTTCTCCGTCCACAGTATAAGTTCAGTACGGGATACTCGGTCCGTCGGATGGCACTAGGTAGCGCCTGTGCCGACACACCTGTGCATTGGTTCGTTAGGAACACTCGTGTAGGATAGCGCTCTGCCTGTGGTGGCGGCCACGGAGGAATGTCCTCGCGGTCGTCGCGTGCTGGTTCGCCCGGTGCTGGCAGTAGCATGGGCAGGGCTGCGGCGGCGAGGTATGGGTCGCACTGAACAAGTACTGCCCGTGCCTCATCTTGTGCCATTTGTTCCAGACACTCCGTAGCGATCTTGGTGAGCGGGCCAGCTGCTTTGCGTGTGGGTACGACTACGTGCCTTCTTGGCACACGCACGCACACCTTGCCTGTCGTTGCCGCTGGCGCGTGCGATGCGGGCTGTAGGTCGAGGTGGTAGGCTTGATTGTCGTATGATTCAATGGCTGCCACTAGGCAGCGCGTGGAGTCTAGGGCTAGATGGTCGACTAGGTGGGTGCGTGCGTGAAATGTGGATAGGCATGTAGTGCAGCAGCCCGTCGTCGAGGCATATCCTTTGGCCAGGATATAGAATTGGCGGTGGGTGCGATTGATATGTGCGCGCAGCGCACGCATCCTTCAGAAAGCTACTCCACGCCACGGGCAGTATACCCGAAAAGCTGGTGGTGGGGCACACACACACACCTGCTGATAGCAAGCCACCCTAACTCTGGAGTGGTGTTAGAAGAGGGCGAACTTCTAGTCGAACAAGGAGCCGCCGTTGAGGTCGAACGTAGCGGCGACGATGGCCAGCCCAAGCCGGCACGCTGCCACCTGCATGGTTCCGCGTCGTTCCGGGGTCCTCCCCGCGTCGTAGGTGATCCATCCGGATTTGGACGTCACCCGGGGCTGGGTGCGCCAGAATGAGGGAGGAAGGCGTAGATCTCTGGCGATCGCTGCGCGCTCCGTGTCGAGGCGCGGGCAGCCCTGGAACATGTGCTGGAGGCTGGCGAGCGGCTGGCGGCACCATGGGCACGGCGCTGCCTCGCCCCCCCGCGTCGGCGTCTTGGTGGCCCCCAACCGGAAGATGTCGAGGAATTCCTTGTCGCGGTGCGACAGCGATCTGTGCCACTTGGCCCAGACTGCGGTGCTGGAGGCGTCCACGTCGACGCGGGCCACTCCAGCGGCGTCAAGCTTCGTACTGTGTACGCTTTCAAGACAACGTACGCGTGCCACTGCACGCAGGACGTGCGCTGCCGAGGGTGAAGACGTCCAAAAAGACCAGTCGTAGCGGCGAATGTCGGCAGTAATTTGAAGAATCTGATAGGAATCACTGCGGTCCACGAACACCTGAAGGCCCCAGTCGGGCTCGAACCGGCCAATGGTCAAACCCAGAAGGTTGAAGTGTTCGGCGACTGCTCGTCGTGCAAAAGGGCCCCAGACCAGGAGCGGACTGGCCAGCGCTTTAGCAGCAAGGATGGCCGGCGAGAGGAGCGGGCGCAGCATGGTGCGCTGAGCCCACCGTCGCCCGTGGCACCACCACGTGCACTTTGAACGTAAGATTGCCCTGAACAGCTGGCCCGGCACAGCGCGGGGAACAGGTGCCACCAGCGGGGCTGCTCAGCTCCACAATGGGCGGATGCACGCCACGCTTGGCCGCTCGCGCACGTCCATGGCCCCCGGGGGCGAGGCGAGGACCGCGAGGGCAGCGAGCAACTTGTTCCAGTCCCCTTTGGGGGGGGCGGGCTGGGACGGGTCTGCCGGCGCCGCCGTGAGGCCCAGGTGCTCCGCCCTCTGCTTGCCCTGAGCGCCCCGCTCATGGCGTTTGCAGGCGTTCTGCACGAAGCCGACGTCGTTGTCGAAGGCTTGCGTGGCCTCTAGACCGGCCCGCAGGTCCTCGGCGGCGCGCTCGCCCTTCGCGCCCAAGCTTCTGTCGTCCATGAACGCCCGGCCCAGGGCGGGCTCTGGGCGCCGCGGGGCGAGGGCCGCCGCCATGGCACCCGGGGCGCAGCTGTCGCCCTGCGGCAGGGCCTTGGTAGGCCAGATGGCCTCTGAGAGCTCGCCCGAGACGCAGCAGACGCGAGGGCCAGCCCAAGCCAGCCGGCACGTCATGATGACAGTCTCGGGGACTGCCTCTTTTCTGAACGCCTCTTCAGCGATGCGGTGCGCGAGATTATCGCACGCTTTTGCGAGATCCATCTCGAGCCCCGCGGCGCAGGCCTCTGAGAGCCAGTGGCTGACGGCGTGGACCACGGACGCGCGGCGACGGCACGCCCGCTGGTTGGCTGCCACCTCCGGCAGGGCGAGCGCGAGGGCACTGAGCCAGCTCCAGAGCAGCGCGCTGGCCACGCCGATGGGGCGCGACTCATTTTCGTCTTTCTTAGGGATGCCGACCGCGCGCCATGGGAACACCAGCAAGGCCAGGTCGCGCGGCGCGCGGCCGGCGTGCTGCACGGCGTAGATGGACGCGTGGCACCACAGGCAGTACAGCTCGGTGATGATCGGCGGCGCGAGCTGTAGCAGAAGCTTCACCTCCTTGGAGGTCCATCCGTCGAAACCGGCGGCGCCCTTGGCTTCCTTCAGGGAGTGGATTAACTCCTCCTCTGACGGGAGCCACTGCTCCTCGAAGGCGCTCTGCGGGAACTCCGCGCCCTCCGCCCACTCCAACCAGCGTGCTGTCAGGGGCTCAGGGTCGTAGTTGGGAGGGCCCCAGCGTTGCTTCCGCCCGCCCCGCATGGCCGCCGCGTCGAAGCCGGCGGCGGGAGCAGGCGCCTGGAAGCGCGGCGTGGCGTAGTTGTAGACGTCGGAGCTCCACTTGGCGAACACGGTGGCCCACGATCGCACATTGGAGTTTGATATCTTCTGCTGCTCGGCGGCGATGGCCGCAGAGAGGCTGTCCAGCGCAGGGTGGTACGTAGGGGCGCCCCCGGGCGGGGCCGCCACGACGCCATCCATGCAAGCTTGGGCGAACTTGGAGAGGTGCTTGTCGTTGAGCAGCACGTTGCCCATGAAGCGGTGGCAAATCTGCTCAGTGAAGCTGCGGCGCAGGCGGCGGGCGCGCCGGAGCGCGACCGTCTCCTCCAGCCGGTGCGGCGGCGGGGCTGCCGTGGGCCGGCTGGTGGGCATGCTGCCCTTTTCTCTCTCGGGTGTCCTCGAGCATGTCGCCCACTGCTTCGCGGTGGCTGCCTTGAGGGCGTGCTCTGCCCAGGCGTGCCAAGCCCTCCATCGGTTCACGAGGGGCTCGGTGGCCATCGGCTTCGGAATCACTTGGTCGCACGACTCCATGATGGCATCGATTCCGGCGTCTGTGATGAAGGACAACTTGTGGGATTGATACTCGGCTGCGCGGTGGGGCCGTTAGAGCTGCCGATGCTGTTCTTAAACCGTGGGCCCTCACGACAGTAGCCGGGCTTCCAATTCAGATCGCCAAATCATATTGTTGCGTCGGCGAGGTCCTGCGTCCAGCCCATGGCTCGGACGAGCCAGGCGGCATCTCCCTGAGCAGGGCCATGACCAGATACGTAAGCCGCATTTGCTGTGCGGATGGCGACGGCTCGGTGGCCGAAGCTGCTGCTCCTGTATACCGTGATCTTGCCCACGGAGCGGCGCCGCAGCATGGCGGCGCCGCCCTGGGTCGCGCTGCCTCGTGCGTCTGTTGGCGGCGGGTCAGAACACGCCGCGCCCCAGCCAAACTGGGCCGCAAGCTTGATGAGCCAAGGAGGTCGCTGCGCGGCGAGCCGGAGCTCGCTCCAAGCCATGACCGCGACCGATTCCAATTGCGGGCCTCGGCCCTGGCCCGGGCGAGGCTGGTGGCGTTGATGGAGGCGACCTTGACAGCCTCGGTTGCGTCGCCGCTTCCCAACAGCGGATCTTGCGGATCGGTCTCGGAGCTCTCCGGGAGGGCCCTCGGCCGCAACAGAGGAGACCCAACAAGGCGGCCTCGACGGCAACCTGGTCGAAGAGCCGGGCCGCCAGCATGACGAAGAAGTGCTTCAGCGTGGGCCCCTCGACGACCCCGTGCTCGGCTGCGACGGGATTCGTCACGAGGGGGAAGAAGAGAAGGAAGGGGAGGACGTAACGGACGCCCCAGACCTGCATGACAACGTCGACGACGACATGGAGAACCTCCCGGCCGACGTGACCCAGAACGAACTGCAGCGTGAAAGTTTCGACAATGGCCCGGCGGAGCTCCAGGGCGACCAGCTCGAAGGCGACCCGATTCAACGTGGACTACACCGTGGAGCTGGCGAAGATGACCTGATTCAGCGCGAGCTGCAACGCGATGCGCTCAAAGACGGCCCGGCAAGGCTCCAGGACGGCCCGATTCAGCATGAGCTGCGACTTGAGATGCTCGAAGACGACCCGGCAGGGCTCCAGGGCGACGCGATTCAGCACGATCTGGTGCGTGAAACTCTCTACGACGACCCGGAAAGGCTCCAGGACGACACGAAGCAGCGTGAGTTGCATCGCACCTTGCTTGGAGACGACCCGGCAATGCTCCAGGGCGGCCCGATTCAGCACGAGCTGCGACTTGAGATGCTCGAAGACGACCCGGCAATGCTCCAGGACGGCACGATTCAGCACGATCTGGCGCGTGAAACTCTCGACGACGACCCGGAAAGGCTCCAGGACGACACGAATCAGCGTGAGTTGCATCGCACCTTGCTTGGAGACGACCCGGCCATGCTCCAGGGCGGCCCGATTCAGCATGAGTTGCGACTTGAGATGCTCGAAGACTATTCGGAAATGCTCCAGGACGACACGATTCAGCGCGATCTGGTGCGTGAAATTCTTTACGACGACCCGGAAAGGCTCCAGGACGACACGAAGCAGCGTGAGTTGCAACGTAACTTGCTTGGAGACGACCCGGCAATGCTCCAGGACGGCCCGATTCAGCATGAGTTGCGACGTAAGATGTTCGAAGACGACCCGGCGAGGCCCCAGGGCGACACGATTCAGCACGATCTGGCGCGTGAAACTCTCGACGACGACCCGGAAAGGCTCCAGGACGACACGAATCAGTGTGAGGTGCATCGCACCTTGCTTGAAGACGACCCGGCAATGCTCCGGCAATGCTGCGGCGTGAGACCCTCGACGTTTACCCGGGGGGGCTCCAGGACGAGCCAAGTCAGCGCGAGGTGCGGCGTGAGAAACTCCCGGTGCTGGCACCATAGCTCGGTTGGCGGGCTCTGCAGCTCCAGGTGATGAGCGCGATGCTTGGCCTAGTCACCGCGAGAGGCCCTGGTCGCGCCGGGCCTTCGCGAGGACGCGGCAGACGAACTGGTTGTTGGCCTCCTGGGCGCGCCGCTCAGGGGTCCAGCTGGCGCCAGCCCTCCGCGCCTTCTGCTGCAGGAGCGTCTTGTTCTTCTGGTAGTACTTGCGCCCCCGGCCCAGGATCGCGCCGCGGTGACGCTGGCGGCTCTCCCGCTTGAGCTCGGCTAGGCGCTCGGGGTTCCGAGCGCGCCAGTCGGCGTTGCACTTCCGCTGGGCAGCGGCGCGCGTGGCCCGTTGGGCCTTGGCTTTCCTGGGGCCCAGGGGGCTCGCGAGGAACTGCGCCCGGGAGACGGTCTGCTTGTTTGTCCTCGCCGTGCAGGGGCAGCGCCGGGCCTCGGCGAGGGTGCGATTCAGGCCGCACCGCGCGCACATGTAGGTAGCGACGGTGCCCTGCTCGGTCTCGCGGCGGCTGCCCCCCGTGCCGATGAGGTCGCAGAAGGCGGGCTGGATGCGTGGGCTGCGCTTGGCCAGGAGGGCCTGCCAGCGGGCAAAAGCGGCAGCGCCGCGGCGGGGGGCTTTGACGCCGGCGGCAGCGCGGGCGGCTCGGCCGCCGTCGGCGGCGCGGGGGGCGTTGGTGCCTTGGCAACTGCGCCAGATGCGGTTCGCCTCGGTGCGGCGCGCATTGCAGGTGGCGGCTGTGGGTTTCCATCCGCACGAAGGGCAGATGAGGTGGTGGCCGGCTGTGGGCAGCGGCGCCTCCTGTTCCTCGGGGCAGCCCAGGAGGCTGCGGGCGCGGGCGGTGCGGCCACGGCGCGAGGAGGGGGCAGAGAGACCCAGCAGGCTGCGGGCGGCGTCCAGGTCGCTGTCGTCGTCGTCGCTGTCGTCCGTGATCCCGAGGAGCTCCTTGGCAGCCTCGAGGTCGGGGTCGGTGGTGCCGCGGCCGGCGCCAGTGAAGTCGGCGGGGTAAGGCAGCGCGGCGGCGCGCCACTCTCTCTCCTTCTCTTTGGTGAGGGGGGTCTGGTGGTGGGGCAGGTGGGGTAAGTAAGCAAGCCGCGTTCGTCAGTGTATTTTCGATGCGGCACCCCTGCCTCCGTAGCTGCATCAAAGAAACTGTTCTCCACGCGCGTGGCAAGTATGACGCGAGAGTGATGATCAGCTGCAGCTTGGAGCCCTGCACCGATACAATGCTTCCATGTGGAGGTCTTGTGTAGTATGTATTGTTCCCAAGCCGCAAGGCCGTCCGCTGGGGCAGGTAGGCTAGCGCATGGTCGCGGCGCGCTGTGCAATCACGTCATGTCCTCAATAAGCTGTCCGAGCGTGGTGCGCTCCTGCATGCGCTGTCGACCTGCAGCATCGTGCCATTCTGCCGCCATGAGTGCAAACACAAGTGTAGGACCGGCATGCAGCAGTGACCCAAATAACCGCAAGCGCGCCGCACGTAGTAACATAGCGGGCGTGGGTTTGCGCAGCCGTGCAAGCGCACGTGCTCAGAAACTTGTGACTGCGCTTCCTGAAAACGTACACGTGCTCCTGCTCTGTGCACTGTTATGACTTCACCGTGTAAAAGCTTAGTTTCACCTGCAGTGAGTCGTGCCCATGCGCCTGCATTGTGTAGCCTCCCTGAGATTTAGGTTGTCTGCGAGTGTCATGCGAGCCTGTGGGTGTACTGCATTAGTCTTGAAGACTCCTCTTCGCAATATTTGAATCGACGCATCAGTAGATGTAGCACGGTACTTGGTCTCCGGAATGAGCGATCCGTTGGCATCAAATACCGAACCGGGGTGCACGTAGTGATGCACAATAGTGGTTTTGAGCTCACTGAGCATGACTGACGTGCACTGTATGCGACCACCGTACTCGTGCCATGCAGCGTGCCGTGCGCGTTTCGTGCCATGTCTTTCCCACATGATCATAGCTGCTGTCATCGCTGTGCCAACATTCAGCTCGTGCCCACGCTTCGCAAGGGCATCCGTTACAACTCCTAATGCCAACGACAAAGCTGGATATATTTGCAATGCAAGTAGTATGAATAGTATTGTACGGCCGTCTGCATGCGACACATCCCTAAGGTTGGCAACTGCGTCGGGCTGCTGTTGTCTGTCCAATAAGGGGCGTGACTCTGCGACTGTTGGCCGTTGGGACGCCAGCGGCGAGGCCTTCATTCTTCAGACGCCCACGGACCTAGGTCATGCATTCGGCCATTTGTATCGCGAAGGGAACGTCAGCGAGGGGTTGGCCTGGGAAAAAAAAAAGACCGCTGGGGCAGAGAAGCCTGGTCGGAACCTTCACGCACAAACTTGGGCGCTTGATAGCATTGCTCCACCTGTGCCAACGTATGGGGATCGACCTGGCTGTCGTGCAGTCGTAGCCGTGGCGTGTAAGCACGCAGCCTGCGCTCCAGTTCCGTCATTGCACTGGGTGGGAGTCCCGAGGCCCGAACCAATGCTGCGATGGTTTCACCATCCAAGTCGGTATCTCGGTGGGCGTGAATAGCGAGCTCACGGATGGCTTTGTAAAAAGCTTGTACAATTTCCCAGAACAACGCACCAAAGGATAACCGTCGGGTCTTTGCTAGTGAGCGTGCAACTCGTACCGACAGTGACGCGCGCGCAGCGCCCCGCCCTGGCAATCCCCCAAAACTGCGTTTCTCCAACATCAGCGTAAAGCTGTGGCAGGAGAGCTTTCCTGAGGCATCTTCTCGAGGCTTGCCTATTTGGGATGGCCCTGGTATGAACCGCGAACTGGTGCACTTGGTTGGATCAGGCTGGCCAGACTTGATTAGCGCTCGATGCAATATTCCTTTTCACTGCGCAGGCTCTACCAGGAACAGGGGAGACTTGACCTGTAGTGGATTGTAGTACTCGGCATTCGTAGTAGGATTCGCTCTTAATGAAGCACCTGGTATTCCATCGCATCCCGGGGCTGAATCACGCGCCTGACGGCGCGATGCCTGGAACTGAGCCAACGTTGTGACAGCGGCTAGATTGACCGGGCCAGCTCCAACTCCACTGTAGGGTTAGCGCCGGAAATAGTTTTGGACATGCGGTACGTCTTGTAGGGGTAGTGTAGCAGCTAGCTCCAAGCTGGCGGAGTGTTGTTGCCGACGTCTAGCGACCGTGGGGGCGTCTGCGATGGCTCGGCCATCGGCATCGTGAAGGGCTGGTAGCGATCTCTTCATGCGGCGACGCTCGGAACCAGCTCCAATCCTTCTGAGGGCCTTGTAGGCCTCAGCGAACTGTCTCCTATCCCACGCCGATTGTACCTCTGAGGCGATGTGTGTGCAGTGCCAAGCTGCATCTTGATCCGTAGACTGTTGTATGGCGTGTGTAGCTGGTCGTAGGAATGCAGACTCGAGCGCCCAACAGAAACCTTGCAGGCCCGTGGCATATTTAGCACGATGGGTATTTGAATGAGATGGCCTTGGTATGTGTTGGAGCTCCTCAGAGGTTGGCAGCTTACAATATAGTCGCAACCTTTCGACGAGGTCGAGCGAAAATGGCAGCATGGTGAGGTGGCCTTCTGGGGTCTGTAGGGGCGTTGTGAA